AACAACACTACACAACAACACACCAAACAGGACACAACAGAAACAACAACACCACAACAACAGGAACTACACCAACAACCACAACAACAGGAACTACACCAACAACCACAACAACAGGAACTACACCAACAACAACAACAGGAACTACAACAACAGGAACTACACAACACAACAGGAACACCAACAACACAACAACAGGAACTACACCAACAACCACAACAACAGGAGGAACTACACCAACAACCACAACAACAGGAACTACACCAACAACCACAGCAACAACAGGAACTACACCAACAACTACAACAACAAACTACACCAACAACCACAACAACAGGAACTACACCAACAACCACCACAACAACAGGAACTACACCAACAGCCACAACAACAGGAACTACACCAACAACCACAACAACAACAGGAACTACACCAACAACCACAACAACAGGAACTACCAACAACCACTACAACAACAGGAACTACTCCACACCACAACAACAGGAACTACACCAACAACCACACAACAACAGGAACTACACCAACAACCACAACAACAGGAACTACACCAACAACCACAACAACAGGAACTACACCAACAACCACCACAACAACAGGAACTACACCAACAACCACAACAACAGGAACTACACCAACAACCACAACAACAGGAACTACACCAACAACCACCACAACAACAGGAACAACACCAACAACCACCACAACAACAGAAACTACACCAACAACCACCACAACAACAGGAACTACACCAACAACCACCACAACAACAGGAACTACACCACCAACCACCACAATAACAAGAACCACACCAACAACCACCACACAACAGGAACTACACCAACGACCACCCAACAAGAAGAACTACACCAACAACTACAGGAGGCGGACGACACCCTGAAGGAGCTGAACTACTCTTCCACGAGGTTCTGAGCACAACCGTCGCTGACGTCTCCTCTACCAGCACCACGACCTCAACAGGACGTACGCCAATAAACAGACCTGCAAGGAAGGAACCGCACTCAGGAGACAAAAACGACAACAACAGCAACTGTCTTGTCACCAACAACAAGTCACGTACTGTACAACAGGAACTACACCAACTTACTATTGAACAGTTCAGGTAACTGTTGTTCAGACCACACAACAAAACGGAACTGTGGCAACAACACACAGCAACAACAGGAACTGTACCAACGCTCCACAAACAATACAGGAACTACACCAACTACCACCACAAAGGCAACAGAAACTACACCCACATGTAACAACGAAATAGCCAACTTGGACCAACCGACTACCACTACAACTATTACACCAACACAACCACAACAACAGCTTCAACAACAACTACACAACAGAAACTTACAACTACAGCAACAGGACCTACACAACAACGAAGGAACTACACCAACAGGGACAACAACAGGAATTACACCACACCAACAACCACAACAACAACAGGAACTACACCAACAACAACAACAGAAACACACCAACAACTACACAACAACAGGACTACACCAACAACAACCACAACAACAGGAACTACACCACCAACCACTACAACAACAGGAACTACACCAACAACCACTACAACAACAGGAACTACACCAACAACCACCACAACAACAGGAACTACACCAACAACCACAACAACAGGAACTACTACACCAACAACCACTACAACAACAGAAAACTACACCAACAACCACTACAACAACAGAAACTACACCAACAACCACCACAACAACAGGAACTACACCAACAACCACCACAACAACAGGAACTACACAAACAACCAACAACAACAGGAACAACAGACCAACAACAACCACAACAACAGGAACTACCACCAACCACCACAACAACAGGAACTACACCAACAACCACAACAACAACAAACTACACCAACAACCACTACAACAACAGAACTACACCAACAACCACACTAACAACAGAAACTACACCAACAACTACCACAACAGGAACTACACCAACAACTACAACAGGAACTACCACAACCACCACAAACAGGAACTACACCAACAACCTCATCAACACGAACTACACCAACAACCACCACAACAACAACAACAACTGTACCAACAACCACTACACACAACAGAAACTACTCCAGCTACTACAACAACAGACACTACACCAACAACCACCACAACAACAGGAACTACACCAACAACCACAGCAACAACAGGAACTGTACCAACAACAGACACTAACAACAACAGAAACTACACCAACAACCACCACAAGATCAGGAACTTCACCAGCGACCATAACAACAGAAACTACACCAAGAACAACAGGACCTGCACAATCAACCACTACACCAACAGGAACTGCACCAACAACCACCACAACAACAGAAACTACACCAACACCACAACAACAGGAACTACACCAACAACCACCACAACAACAGGAACTACACCAACAACCACAGCAACAAGAACTACACCAACAACCACTACAACAACACAAACTACAACAACAAAACTACACCAACAACTACAACAACAGGAACTACACCAACAACCACTACAACAACAGGAACTACACCAACCACCACAACAACAGGAACTACACCAACAACCACCACAACAACAGGAACACACACCACAACACACCAACCACAACAACAGAAACTACACCAACAACCACTACAACAACAGGAACTACACCAACAACCACAGCAATAACAGGAACTACACCAACAACCACACAACAACAGGAACTACACCAACAACCACCACAACAACAGGAACTACACCAACAACCACAACAACAGGAACTACACCAACAACCACCACAACAAACAGGAACTACACCAACACACTACAACAACAGAAACTACACCAACAACCACCACAAACAACAGGAACTACACCAACAGGAACTACAACACACAGGAACACACAACACCACACAACAGGAACTACATCAACAGCCACAACAACAGTAACTACACCAACAACGACACCAAATATTGGAGCATTGTACGAAGAATTGAACAATTTGACGACCCTGAACGACACCCTGGAAGAAGCCCTCGCGGAAATACAGGAGGCGGAGGACGCCCTGAAGGAGCTGTACTCCCTCCTGGTCGAGGTTATGAGCACCACCGTCGCTGACGTCTCCTCAACCAGCACCACGACCCCAGCAGGACGTCGGCGCCTGATAAACAGACCTGCAAGGAAGGAACCGCTGCTCAGGAGACAAAAACGACCAACATCGCTGATATTCAACAACTTGTCACTATTATGCAACAACCACATCGTAGCTGTAGAGATCAGGAACACCATCCAGATAGGGGCGCTTACTATTCAGTTACAAGCTCAGGTAACTGTTGTTCAGACGCTGACAACCACATCAGCAGCGGAACTGTGGCAACAACACACCACAACTTTGTGGAAGTGTCACGCTCGATATAACATTACAGGCAAAGGAGACAACTACTACTGAGAAAGGCAAGGTAGAAAATGATATAAACGATGTAAAGAATGAAATAGCCAAGTTGGAAGGATCAACTACGTCTACAACTATTAAGATTACGACAACCTCAAGCTCTTCATCAACAAAAACAACATTTACTTCTACAGTTACAACAAAAGGAACTTCAACAGGGACAACAACAGGAACTACACCATCAATCACCACAACAACAGGAACTACACCAACAACCACTACAATAACAGAAACTACACCAACAACAACAGAAACTATACCAACAACCACTACAACAACAACCACTACAACAACAGAAACTACACCAACAACCACTACAACAACAGAAACTACACCAACAACCACTACAACAACAGAAACTACACCAACAACCACTACAACAACAGAAACTACACCAACCACAACAACAGAAACTACACCAACAACCACTACAACAACAGAAACTACACCAACAACCACCACAACAACAGAATCTACACCAACAACCACTACAACAACAGAAACTACACCAACAACCACTACAACAATAGAAACTACAACAACCACTACAACAACAGAAACTACACCAACAACCCCCACCACAACAGAAACTACACCAACAACCACTACAACAACAGAAGCTACACCAACAACCACTACAACATCAGAAACTACTACAACAAGCACTACAACAACAGAAACTACACCAACAACCACTACAACAACAGAAACTACTACAACAGAAACTACTACAACAGAAACTACAACAACTACCACTACAACAGAAACTATACCAACAACTACAACAACACAAACTGCAACAACAACCACTACAACAACAGAAACTACACCAACAACCACTACAACAACCGAAACTACACCAACAACCACTACCACAACAGAAACTACACCAACAACCATTACAACAACAGAAACTACACCAACAACCACTACAACAACAGAAACTACACCAACAACCACAACAAGAGAAATTACACCAACAACCACTACAACAACAGAAACTATAACAACAACCATTACAACAACAGAAACTACACCAACAACCACCACCACAACAGAAACTACACCAACAACAGAAACTACAACTACAACAACAGAAACTACACTAACAACTACAACAACAGAAACTACACCAACAACTACAACAACAACAGAAACTACACCAACAACTACAACAACAGAAACTACACCAACAACTACAACAACAGAAACTACACCAACAACTACAACAACAGAAACTACACCAACAACTACAACAACAGAAACTACACCAACAACTACCACCACAACAGAAACTACACCAACAACTACAACAACAGAAACTACAAGAACAACCACTACAACAACAGAAACTACACCAACAGCCACAACAACAGGAACAACACCCACAACAACAGGAACTACATCAACAGCCACAACAACAGTAACTACACCAACAACGACACCAAGAGGCGGAGGACGCCCTGAAGGAGCTGAACGCCCTCCTGGTCGAGGTTATGAGCACCACCGTCGTTGACGTCTCCTCAACCAGCACCACGACCCCAGCCGGACGTCGACGCCTGATAAAGAGACCTGCAAGGAAGGAGTCGCTGCTCAGGAGACAAAAACGAGATGCCATCGCTGATATTCGTGGTCTTGTCAGTATTATGCAACAAGTCGTCGTTGCTGTAGAGATCAGGAACACCATCCAGATAGGGGCGCTTACTATTCAGTTACAAGCTCAGGTAACTGTTGTTCAGACGCTGACAGTGGACATCAGCAGCGGAACTGTGGCTGCACCACAGGAGCTCTTTGTGGAAGTGTCCTTGGCGCTCGATATAACAATACAGGCAAAGGAGACAACGACTACTGAGAAGGGCAAGGTAGAAGAGGAGATAGAAGTTGTAGAGGGTGAAATAGCCGTGTTAAAAGGATCTACCACGACTACCAGTGGTAAACCAACATCCTCTACCAGTGGTAAACCAACATCCTCTACCAGTGGTAACCCAACATCTTCTACCAGTGGTGAACTAACATCTACCAGTGGTGAACTAACATCTTCTACCAGTGGTGAACCAACATCCTCTACCAGTGGTGAACCAACATCCTCTACCAGTGGTGAACTAACATCCTCTACCAGTGGTGAACCAACATCCTCTACCAGTGGTAAACCAACATCTTCTACCAGTGGTGAACTAACATCTTCTACCAGTGGTGAACCAACATCTACCAGTGGTGAACCAACATCTTCTACCAGTGGTGAACCAACATCTTCTACCAGTGGTGAACCAACATCTTCTACCAGTGGTGAACCAACATCTTCTACCAGTGGTGAACCAACATCTTCTACCAGTGGTGAACCAACATCTTCTACCAGTGGTGAACCAACATCCTCTACCAGTGGTGAACCAACATCCTCTACCAGTGGTGAACCAACATCCTCTACCAGTGGTGAACCAACATCTTCCACTGATGGATCATCATCTTCCACTGATGGATCATCATCTTCCACTGATGGATCATCGTCTTCCACTGATGGATCATCATCTTCCACTGATGGATCATCGTCTTCCACTGATGGATCAACATCTTCCACTGATGGATCATCATCTTCCACTGATGGATCATCGTCTTCCACTGATGGATCATCGTCTTCCACTGATGGATCATCGTCTTCCACTGACGGATCATCGTCTTCCACTGAAGGATCATCGTCTTCCACTGATGGATCATCATCTTCCACTGATGGATCATCATCTTCCACTGATGGATCATCGTCTTCCACTGAAGGATCATCGTCTTCCACTGAAGGATCATCGTCTTCCACTGAAGGATCATCGTCTTCCACTGATGGATCATCGTCTTCCACTGATGGATCATCATCTTCCACTGACGGATCATCATCTTCCACTGACGGATCATCATCTTCCACTGATGGATCATCATCTTCCACTGAAGGATCATCATCTTCCACTGATGGATCATCGTCTTCCACTAAAGGATCATCGTCTTCCACTGATGGATCATCGTCTTCCACTGATGGATCATCATCTTCCACTGATGGATCATCATCTTCCACTGATAGATCATCGTCTTCCACTGATAGATCATCGTCTTCCACTGAAGGATCATCATCTTCCACTGAAGGATCATCATCTTCCACCGATGGATCATCGTCTTCCACTGATGGATCATCGTCTTCCACTGATGGATCATCATCTTCCACTGATGGATCATCATCTTCCACTGATAGATCATCGTCTTCCACTGATAGATCATCGTCTTCCACTGAAGGATCATCATCTTCCACTGAAGGATCGTCATCTTCCACCGATGGATCATCATCTTCCACTGAAGGATCATCATCTTCCACCGATGGATCATCATCTTCCACCGATGGATCATCATCTTCCACCGATGGATCATCATCTTCCACTGATGGATCATCATCTTCCACTGAAGGATCATCTTCCACTGATGGATCATCGTCTTCCACTGATGGATCGTCGTCTTCCACTGATGGATCGTCGTCTTCCACTGAAGGATCATCGTCTTCCACTGAAGGATCATCGTCTTCCACTGACGGATCGTCGTCTTCCACTGATGGATCCTCGTCTTCCACTGAAGGATCATCATCTTCCACTGAAGGATCATCTTCCACGGATGGATCATCATCTTCCACCGATGGATCATCATCTTCCACCGATGGATCATCATCTTCCACTGAAGGATCGTCGTCTTCCACTGAAGGATCATCGTCTTCCACTGATGGATCATCGTCTTCCACCGATGGATCATCATCTTCCACTGATGGATCATCATCTTCCACTGATGGATCATCATCTTCCACTGAAGGATCGTCGTCTTCCACTGATGGATCAACATCTTCCACTGAAGGATCATCATCTTCCACTGATGGATCATCGTCTTCCACTGATGGATCATCATCTTCCACTGAAGGATCGTCGTCTTCCACTGAAGGATCATCGTCTTCCACTGATGGATCAACATCTTCCACTGAAGGATCATCATCTTCCACTGATGGATCATCATCTTCCACTGATGGATCATCATCTTCCACTGAAGGATCGTCGTCTTCCACTGATGGATCATCATCATCCACTGAAGGATCATCATCTTCCACTGATGGATCATCGTCTTCCACTGATGGATCATCATCTTCCACTGATGGATCATCGTCTTCCACTGAAGGATCATCGTCTTCCACTGATGGATCATCGTCTTCCACTGATGGATCGTCGTCTTCCACTGATGGATCATCGTCTTCCACTGAAGGATCATCATCTTCCACCGATGGATCATCATCTTCCACTGAAGGATCGTCGTCTTCCACTGATGGATCATCATCTTCCACTGAAGGATCATCATCTTCCACTGATGGATCATCATCTTCCACTGATGGATCATCATCTTCCACCGATGGATCATCATCTTCCACTGATGGATCATCGTCTTCCACTGATAGATCATCATCTTCCACTGAAGGATCATCGTCTTCCACTGATGGATCATCATCTTCCACCGATGGATCATCATCTTCCACTGAAGGATCGTCGTCTTCCACTGATGGATCATCATCTTCCACTGAAGGATCATCATCTTCCACTGATGGATCATCGTCTTCCACTGATGGATCATCATCTTCCACTGATGGATCATCGTCTTCCACTGTTGGATCATCGTCTTCCACTGATGGATCATCATCTTCCACTGATGGATCATCATCTTCCACTGATGGATCATCATCTTCCACTGATGGATCATCATCTTCCACTGACGGATCATCATCTTCCACGGATGGATCATCATCTTCCACTGATGGATCATCATCTTCCACTGATGGATCATCATCTTCCACTGATGGATCATCTTCTTCCACTGATGGATCATCATCTTCCACCGATGGATCATCATCTTCCACCGATGGATCATCATCTTCCACTGATGGATCATCGTCTTCCACCGATGGATCATCATCTTCCACTGATGGATCATCGTCTTCCACCGATGGATCATCATCTTCCACTGATGGATCATCATCTTCCACTGAAGGATCATCATCTTCCACGGATGGATCATCATCTTCCACTGATGGATCATCATCTTCCACTGATGGATCATCATCTTCCACTGATGGATCATCATCTTCCACCGATGGATCATCATCTTCCACCGATGGATCATCATCTTCCACCGATGGATCATCATCTTCCACTGATGGATCATCATCTTCCACCGATGGATCATCATCTTCCACGGATGGATCATCATCTTCCACTGATGGATCATCGTCTTCCACCGATGGATCATCGTCTTCCACTGATGGATCATCGTCTTCCACCGATGGATCATCATCTTCCACTGATGGATCATCATCTTCCACCGATGGATCATCATCTTCCACCGATGGATCATCATCTTCCACTGATGGATCATCATCTTCCACCGATGGATCATCATCTTCCACGGATGGATCATCATCTTCCACTGCCGGATCATCATCTTCCACGGATGGATCATCATCTTCCACTGATGGATCATCATCTTCCACTGATGGATCATCATCTTCCACTGATGGATCATCATCTTCCACTGATGGATCATCATCTTCTAATACTGGATAAACATCTTCCACTAATGTATCAACATCTACATAAGAATCAACATAGTCCACTCATGAATCAACATCTTGAGTAAATCTGTCTATTATAATTCTATAAATTATAATAAATGTTCATGTTATTTATTAAGAACATTATAACCGTGAGGTTGTGAAGGTTAAGGTTGACTTCCTTCTTATTTTAGCTTTTGTGTTACAATGTTCATCTTCAGTGTTAACTTTATTATTGCTGCAATTATTCTTGTTTCGTATCAGTTGTAAACAAAGAGAAATGTGTTGGTTTTTTTTTTGTCTGTCGTGGGGTGTGCAGTAGTGAACTTGTTTGAATTGATTTTTTGTTTTAAATTAATTTATTTGTTACTCAGAATGAAACTGACTATATGTAAAATGGTAGATTTTTCTGAGCAGATAAATGAATAATAATTTCACAACAGCTTTTCTTCAATTTAAGTATTATTGTATATAATACAATATGTAGAGATCTCTTTGAAATGTTATACATTATTTCGAACAGCAGCAGATAATTAGATCAAATGAGGCTTTGGTTTTAATGAAGGTTTATCTAGTGCTCCATATGTATTTTCTTCCAGATAATTTTCATAAAATCTTAGCGCACATCCATCTATACCGCGAGTCAAGCATGTTAAAAGAAGCTGTAAATGACGATTATTAAAGGTTGTGTACAAACGTAGGCAAATCATTGCTTTCGTCATACGTGTTAAAAGTATCAAATAATTAAAATTTGTTAGACTTAAATATATGAATGATTCACGCATAAACTGTATGAGCAATTCACAATTAGTTGATTATCCTTCATATATTGTTCTATTTGATGTTTATTAATTGTGTACATTAGTTTTCCAACAGTTCAAGTTTAGCTAATTGGTTGATAATTTCAGGTAAAGTTTTTTTTTGTTCCTTTTTTTATATATATTAGTGCGACAAAAACATTTACAATGTTATTGCATTGTTGTTTTTCCATTTGGCATTAAAATGTACAGTAATCGTTTATTGTAAAAAAAATCCTATCTAATGTTCTTTTGTGAAATTTGCTGAGCACAGCAATGTTTTGTTTCATTTGTCTTTGTTTTATTTAGCTCCAAAAGTGCCTCCTCGCCGCCTGTGTTTGCTGATTGGAGGAAATACAGCAGCACTGGTAAAGGGAAATGATTAAAGATTTTACCCTAAATACAGATATGAAAAATAAATTTAAAATCTTGCTTCATCGTTCACCTGATAACCATATAATAGTACAACAGCCCAACTGACTCAATTATGTTTATATTATTTTAAATTCGTTTGGATTTAGTTTTTTCAATTTTCAAAGCAATGTATTATTCATAATTATGTTTACCCTTCTGCCTCCTGTGACGGAACTGTGCCATTCCTCATTTGGCTAATAACTCGAGGAAAGTGATATCTGGGAGATGAGTTAATAAAACTCTTATTACTTTTATATATCCCTCATCCTGTCCCCTTAAATCCACCATACTAAAATAAAACTATCTAAAGGCTCGGAACATTATTTATTACTAAGTTCTCGGAGAACAGTGCAACGCCACATATAACTTAAGATTAAGTAACCTGAGAAAGTTCCTCATGATAAGGTCTAGTAACCTTTATCAATTATTGGAGATGTTGTAGGTAGAAATATGAGATAATTGGAGACTTTACCAACCCCGTGACCCACCCCAATCGGGATTGAAATGTTATAAACAGTTGCCTCTCAACAACAAACTTGCTCATTAAGAGAATACAACAAAGAAATAATCAACAAAATACACCTTGATGAGACGAGCCAAGAGACTCATTCCCAGTGTTGGACACAAATGAGTTGCTGAAAAAACTGCAAATGGCAAGTTTTACCGCTATATATTTGAATAAAAATGTAAAAAAATAATTGTAGTCAAACAAAAACAAACAGCTGGTCTGACAAAGAGGTATAAAAGTACTAGGCCTGACGGAGTTACGCAAAAAGTGAAGGGCTTTACAAATAGGGTGAAAAACGGAGGCAATATCATTGCAACATTAATTGCTGTGGCCAATCGCCCCGTACTAGGCTTGAGTCAGACAACATGGCGGCACCTCTACGACCAAAGGCGGGAGAAATCAAATCAAATCGCATGTTAATCTCCGAACTAACATAACTTAAAAAAACAACCTTTGCATTGTTCTTATAAAACAACAATTTATTAATTATTTTAATGAAGAAACAATTAGAAAACGCAAACCTTCAACTTTATGAACAATATCCAATTTAATGAAAAGGCGCGTAATTGACTGGATGGCATGACCGCCAGCAGCTGACGTCCTGCCGACATAATTGTTTATATTGTCCCTCCAGAAGGGCGGACTTACTGGTGGCATCAATCATGAGGTGAGTGAACACTCCCCAGTCACCCTGCGAGTGAACACACCACCACAGCAGCCGGCACAACGCTCCTAAACTGGCGGAGTGTTGACGTTGTCACCTCAACCCGGAGTCAGGCAGGACTTGCCTTTATACACCTCAATACCAACCAATAACTATCATATACTACGAAACATTTGCTGCTAATTATTGCCTCGTTTGCCATAAAACAAGTCGTATGGTATAATTAACGAAATATTTTGAAATAATAAAAACAGAAGTTCCAATTGTATGAAAATAAACAAATATGTTTCGGGTCTGCAGGAACTCGTGGACGGGTCGACCCATGTTGGAATATGGCGCCTGGAGACCTCTCGCTTATACGTGAGTACCTAATTCAACCTTCAGTTACTAATGTCAATAATTACCAACAGAACCAAAACACCTAATTACCTATCCTATCCCATCTTTGTCCTAACAAGACATATATATGTAACCTACATTAACGTGAATTTATGTTAGTGTTCTAACTGGGTTGATGTGGCGGGCCGCAGCTCGGGCGAGCATAGCCTGATGGCTTGGGTAACCGTAATGCTGTGTTAATATTAACATAGGCGGCACCAGCCAGTCCCAGGTCGTCTCTTTAATCATTGTTTGTAGTCATGTGTCAAAGTGACCAGTTTCATATATACAGAGAGAGAGAGAGAGGGAGGGATGAAAGGGGGGAGGGGGGATTCTTCTTGGGTGTCAGTGGCTGAAGCCCCGCGTGATATTTTTGGCGCCAACAATCGGGTCTCCAAAACTTTCTTAATTCTCATTATCGCAACTACATTCAGAAATTAACGTCGCTTCCAAAGTTATGAGTCAACACAGTCTACAAATTGACCTGCCTTAGCAACGTCTTGTAGATAAGCCAGAATACAGGTACAGTATTAGGCTTCTGTTTGCTATTATTATTATTATTATTACTTTTATTATTATTATTATTATTATTATTATATTTTTATTATTATTATTATTATATTTTTATTATTATTATTATTATATTTTTATTATTATTATTATATTATTATTCTACTACTGTGAGCGAAGGTTTGGTGTGTGAATTAATGTTTGATGTGAGGAAATAATTGGTGTGTGAGTTAATGTTTATTAGATTGATGAGTAAATGTATGGTGTGTGAATGACTATTTTTGAGTAAGTGAATATTTTTGTAACCGTGTTGGAGAATATTCCTTCCTTCGTAGCCACTTAAAATGTTCCCTAGAGAACTGTGCCTTCCGCTATAACTACTTAATTAAGATATTCGTTGGACAACTGTTCCATCCCCCGTAGCCACATAAGATGTTCCTGGACACCCGGTTGACAAGACACGCTCTAATACATAAAAATCTTGAAGAGTTCACTTGAGGAATCCTTCGCGATGCGAACCTTAACCCACAACCATCCCAGGATGCTGGCTAAGGCGTCGCCGTTATCGCTCTTGACTCCCGGCTGCATATTTGTCCCGTGGTTAATGGTACTTCCACTCCATTTCCTTAATCTTTGGCACACGTCCTATCCCTAAACCATACTTGTCTAAAGTCCTACCTCGCCTTTTTACGAGTTAAAAGTTACTTCATATCTTTTTGAGTTTCCGCGTGGCTCCAGTCCTTATCTTCCAGATCTCTTCTACAAGCTGTCCCTTCAACCTGTCCATTCCAGGTACCGCGCCTTATTGTTGTATTTTATACATGATACAGCTTCCTGCTCCTGTACCCACCTCTAAATAACATATTAAATGAGAGAGAGATAGATAGATCTGCAGGAGCAGTAGCTGTATCTGTTGATAGTTGCAGGGTGTGGGTAGAGATAGCTCACCAGCTGTGGCTTCTGTTGCTATCTTATACGATTTCCAGTGGTGTAAGAGGGTCTAGCTGAAGTGTTCTTGGTGTTCCAGTGTTTTCTGCCTCAGTATTACGTTGTCTCAGTGTTTCAGTGTACCCATCCTGGTGTTCTTGACGCCACCGTCTCAGTGTCCTGCAACACTTGTACTACTGTCTGATTGCCTCTGTCCATTCACTGTTCCAGAATCTCTGTGTTCAAATATACAACTGCTAGTATTCCACTGTGCCACATGAAAGCGTCGCCATGTGGCAGCTGTGCCGTGTGGCACCGCTCCTCTGGTGCCTGGCACTCAGCCACCAGGCAAGGTCTTGATGGCTCTTGCCTTCTCCTTCTCGGTTTTATGTCCTCATCATCACATGCAAACGATCCTGCCGCAGATCAGGAAAACGTACTGTGGAGAGCAGAAATCATGGAGATTACCGAAATTAACTTACTCGAACTGCAACTTGAACCGAAATTAGTGCAAATACATTACGAAATACACATTACCACTGCAAGTATTGACATGCTGTGGGATTCTGCTACCATTAAGACCCGAGTAGTGGTTGAGACCGTGTTAGGGGGAGGATGGGGGTGTGGGGGACTGGACGGAGGCTGAAGCAGGTGTCCGGGATGCAAGTGGCGTACTGAAGGCTGGACCCAGTGGCCGCAATATCCAAGTGTAAAGTTAATTCACCATTTAATCAACGTTACTCTTGGATGTTATGTCCACAGGCGACGTGCATTCAACAAAGCTCCTACGAGTCCTCTTACGAGATTATATCTCTTACCTCTATCATTGCGGCCTATCTTGAGGTTATCTTAAGATGATTTCGGGGCTTAGCGTCCCCGCGGCCCGGTCCTCGACCAGGCCTCCTTTTTGTTACACACCCCCAGGAACCAGCCCGTAGCAGCTGTCTAACTCCCAGGTACCTATTTACTGCTAGGTAACAGGGCCCAGTTTATGTTTACTAAAGAGCTCAGTATCCACATGCTGGGCGAACGACGTTGAATCAACGTCGATAACGTTGATTCTACGTTACTGGTGCATGTTTTGCCCAATGGGAGTTGACGAGCTGCGAAGCGCCACGAGTACGTCAATAACAATAATAATAATCTTGGGTTGAGGACGTCCTCGTAGCACTTCCGAGGTCGTAAACTGCGTAGTCGCCTGAGCCGCTGTGGGCGAGATAAGAGGTACAGGCAGCAGTATATGGTTCTCAGGGCCACAGTACTGTCTCAGGGCAGCAGTATATGGTTCTCAGGGTTACAGTACTGTCTCAGGGCATCAGTATATGGTTCTCAGGGTTACAGTACTGTCTCAGGGCATCAGTATATGGTTCTCAGGGTCACAGTACTGTCTCAGGGCATCAGTATATGGTTCTCAGGGTTACAGTACTGTCTCAGGGCATCAGTATATAGTTCTCAGGGCCACAGTACTGTCTCAGGGCATCAGTATATGGTTCTCAGGGCCACAGTACTGTCTCAGGGCATCAGTATATGGTTCTCAGGGCCACAGTACTGTCTCAGGGCATCAGTATATAGTTCTCAGGGCCACAGTACTGTCTCAGGGCATCAGTATATGGTTCTCAGGGCCACAGTACTGTCTCAGGGCAGCAGTATATAGTTCTCAGGGCCACAGTACTGTCTCAGGGCAGCAGTATATAGTTCTCAGGGTCACAGTACTGTCTCAGGGCAGCAGTATATAGTTCTCAGGGCCACAGTACTCAGTACTCAGGGCAGCAGTATATAGTTCTCAGAGCCACAGTACTGTCTCAGGGCAGCAGTATATAGTTCTCAGAGCCACAGTACTGTCTCAGGGCAGCAGTATATGGTTCTCAGGGTTACAGTACTGTCTCAGGGCAGCAGTATATAGTTCTCAGGGCCACAGTACTGTCTCAGAGACCGTCTCTCCACCGTCCAGCCCAAGTGGTTGCAAGGAAATATTGTTCAACAATGATAAACTGTAATTGGTTAAGAACGTTGTTTGCTAACATTTTAAGCAAACATGCGTCACCCGGACAATGTGTGCTTAGTCGTGTGTGTGTGTGTGTGTGCGCGCAGCAGCAAACACGCCATGAGAATGGAGAGAGAAAAGGAGAGAGAAAAGGAGAGAGTCAGCTTCAGTTGTTGGAGCTTCCAGCAGGCAATCTTCAGTAGCTGGAGCTTCCAGGTTGTGGCTGTGAAGAGCAAGGATGCTGTGATGACTTGCCTCCACACATGAGTGTGATCATGCTGTGGTATAACGCGGGTAGTTGATGAGTTGGCCAGATGGCGGGCAGGTGATGAGGTGGCCAGATGGCGGGCAGTTGATGAGTTGGCCAGATGGCGGGCAGGTGATGAGGTGGCCAGATGTAAACACAGTACAAATTACCACGGCAGTTGCAGTGCATATTTTAATTGTAGTACAATGCCATTCATTAGTTTTCGCAGACAATGGAAAACAAGGCATAGGTTAAATGTTTATAAATTTTCAGGAATATTACATATGACTTATGCGGTACAATTTACTCATCCTGACCTAACTAACCTACCTGACTTGACCTAGCCTGAAATAATCTAACCTGACCGAAGCTAACCTTGTGTGAAGTAACCTAACTTAACCTGGCCTAACCTAACCTAACCTAACATAATTCAACATAAAATAACCTGACCTAACCTACCCGTCAACAAGCATGAATTCGGCCTATTCTGAATTCGGTTATGCAAAGCTTATCATCGTGAGACTGAAAAGCATTTAGCGGAAAGCTGGATTTATTGGGATTCCCTGGAAATGGCCGGATCGGGAGGTTCCCAGTTGAAACATTTTGTGAGGAATAAAACTTTTATTTGTGTTTTTGGTTATCGTGATCAAGCCTGGCGAGGATTACCTTACGTGTTGTTGACGATGTTGCGCAGTGTTGGGGATGTTGAGGATGCTTGTGCTATATTAAATGTGGCTGTTGTTGGGGATTTCCAGGTGAGGTATTTGGACAAGGCTTTTGAGCTAAAGATAGAGAGAATTGATTTAGGTGTGTATGTGTGTGTGTGTGTGTGTGTGTGTGCGGGTTTTGGTGTGTGTGTGTGTGTGCTTGCGTGCGTATTTACTATGTGTGTCTGCAGGATCGAGCTACTGGCTCTTGGACACCCCCCTCTTTCTAACCATCGGTTGTCTAATGTACTTACTCCGGAACTATTTTCCTCTTATCATATCTAGTCCATTTATTTTGTACCAGACTACTAGCAAATGGAAACCCGGGGTCCGGGTGCCGAAGCACGACCCTCAGGCACATTTAAATGTACAAACACACACACACACACACACACACACACACACACACACACACACACACACACACACACACACACACACACACACACACACACACACATACACACGTGTGATGTGGTGGAGGCTGACTCCATACACAGTTTCAAATGTAGATATGATAGAGCCCAGTAGGCTCAGGAATCTGTACACCAGTTGATTGACAGTTGAGAGGCGGGACCAAAGAGCCAAAGCTCAACCCCCGCAAGCACAATTAGGTGAGTACACACACACACAGATTCGCACGCTCGAACACGCGACGGGAGTCAGTGCAGGTTGGAAAGGCGGGGTCCAAGAGCTAGCAGCTCGATCCTGCATTCACGAATGGTAAATGCAAATAGTGATACACACAGAGTGAGTGGAAGCCTCACTCTGCAAGAACGTACAGGTAAGTACAGACCCACAAACTTTATAACGTCTTGCATATTGTCTTGTTTCATCATTGAATTGAACGTTTACCAAGACAATATTCTTGGCGCTGCATGAAGCACTCGTTCTCTGGCGGCGGGGGAAGAAAACCTCAGCATCTGATGTTGGTGTGCAAGTTCGACTTAACTTTTTCCTCAAACTCTCATTGTTTCTGAGAAGACGGCCATTCAGTTTTACCGCGGCTTAAACCTTTGAAATGTGAACAAGCAAGTGCCTCCGTGTGCAAAGTTGATGGTGTTTGTGTGAAATTCGTGATAACAAGACCTGAATGTCGCGGCAAGATCTTGCTTGCTTTTGACTAGTTATATGTTGACTGTGTCGTTAACGTCGACCGACTTCATTTATCTGGTTAAGCTTGAGACATATGGATATAGAGGCATGTTATCTGGCTATGGTTTGAGGCGGTGATTACAGTGAGGGTTGTGTCAGTGACTCACACGCTAAACACGCACACGGGTAATCGCGAATACACACACATTTGCACGCACACACACAGTGTGGGACACAGTGGACAACCCTCGGGAGGTCTTATTCCTAAGGCCCCGGGTTTGATTCGCGGTCGAGGCAAAAGCAAATGAAAAGAGTTTTAGTTGATGCTCCTGTTCACCTAGCAGTAAATAAGCACCTGGGAGTTAGACAGCTGCACGGGCTGTCTCCTAGGGATGTGTGTGTGTTAAATAAATAATTATATTATATATTATATATATATATATATATATATATATATATATATATATATATATATATATATATATATATATATATATGCTCGGGGGGATAGTCATCCACCCCTCTTATAAAATGGCAAATGATTCTAATCTCGCTAAATATAAGCTTCCATCCTTACTATGGATCATCAAACATTCTTTTCTACATGATGATTAGAGGAAGACCATGTTTAGTGAAAATGGTTACAAGGATAAAGAGAAATTGGTGAAAAAGTAGAGGTGGTAGAGGTTGGGAATGGTGGTGAAGGGCAGAGGAAGATGGTGAACGATAGGAAGGTGGTGAAAGGTAAGGAAGGTGGTGAGGGAGAGGAAAGTTTGTAGATAGGGAACCCAGCCCATGTAGTGATGATGATAACATATATGAAGTCGAGATGGGAAGAGTGTGGTGTTAGGGAGGGGTGTGGAGGTGTTTACAGCGATGAAGACAGTGTGTGTCTAAGATAGTTACAGAGATGGGAGGAGGCGTGAGTGTGTGTGAGGGGAAATAAGGAAGGTGTGTGTAGGGGAAGATGGGAAGGACATGTAGGGTTAGATCTGGCCACCAGATCGACCCGGGTATCGCCGGATACCTCATCTACTATATTATACAGTATTAAGAACATCATTATGTTAGGATAGGTTATGTTAGGCAAAGTAAGCAGGCGATGAGTCACAATAACGTGGCTAAAGTATGTTGACCAGACCATACACTAGAAGGTGAAGGGACGACGACGTTTCGGTCCGTCCTGGACCATTTTCAAATCGATTGAAAATGGCTTACTCAACTTGAAAATGGTCCAGGACGGACCGAAACGTTCGTCGTCCCTTCACCTTCTAGTGTGTGGTCTGGTCATCATTAGGCAAAGTAAGTTAGGTTAGGGTTGCTCAGATTTCCATGTTAAATTTTATCTCGACTAAGAAAAGTCCGCCATAGATTACAATGAATAAATCATTCCAATACTGCCTTCGGAGGTACACTTTTTTCTCATGTTCGAGATTATTTCGAATATTTACGCAGATGTTTCTAAAGAACACATCAGTTTATCCAGATGTATTCAGAAAACCATTGGAGAATACCTAAAGCAAGTGTGTGCGTTCTCTCTGCTAAAGTAAGTCCCCTGGAGCGAGAGAGTAGAGGCGTGATATGTTTGCCAAGAAAGCAGGTCGATAGACTCA